GAGCCCCCTGTCAGTGAGAGGAAGGCCAAGCCAGCCTCGGAGCCCCCGCCAGTGCCCAGCACTACTTGGGATGAAAGGTTTGTTAGAAGCACACAGGAGATTTCTGTCACTTCATCTCTTACAGTTGGAAATTCTAGTCTGGATTTCATCTGAAATTATCATTTAGAGACTGACCTCAGAGAAGCCACTTAGTGGCCTGGCCATACATGCTCCCATGCTCCAGCACACCTCCTGGCCCCAGGGAGACAGGAGGCGAGGTGGAATGAGACCCACAGAGTGTGTTTATTTCTGGTGATAGCAGCAGCGGAGGGGATCGGCCAGACGCAGATGAGGGACAGAGGGCTGGACGCTGGAGGGTGTGTTTGTTCAGGGGACATCAAGGATTGGTCTGTCGACATTCACGGTGAGGTCATAGGCCAGAACACCAAGACTTAGACAACAGCAAAGAGACAGACAGACACACAGACAGAGGGATGGGGTCAGGGGTCCCCAGACATGCACAACCCCTTGCCTCTAGGCGGAATTCTGGGGATAAGAGACAGACAATGGAGGCCAAGAACCTCCCACCCTGAAACAGGGAGCTGGATCTGCGGCCTCCCACTCTCACACCTCCAGACGAGGAGGGGCAGGCCCAGGCCGCCCGCACCAGCAGCTCGGACGTTATGGCTTCGAGGAGATGAGTTCACAGTCCGGGCAGGAAGGGATGGGGTCCTGAGGGCACTGGTCTGATCCCAGGCCTAGACCAGACCTAAGAAACAGGAGGGAAAGGGAGAGGAAATGCCGGGAAGGATTAGGGCGAACCTCTTGCTGCTGTGCCAGCTGCGAGGAGGGAGAGGTCACTGGAGCCCCCCGCCCCTAGCCGGAGCTCCGAGGCACACCTGCCTTCTCTGGGTCTCCTCTCACTCCGAGTTCTCCTTCTCTGAGAGTCCTTTGCCACCTTTCGTGAAGCTGGTCAGAGTCTTCTCCTGGAGTTGGGGATGAAAAAGAACAATTACCACAGCAGGAAGCTTCAGCCCCACTCCTTAGCTACATGCTGTCTTCACTTAGTTCCCAGGGGGTGTGGGAAATGATATACCATCCGTTCTACCAGTGGGGGAACTCAGCCACAAAAGATAAATCCCTATAAATGCAAGAAAGATAAGGTTATGGAAAGGGGCCTTGAGGCGGGTCTGGGACTCAGAAGTTTGAAACTCTGTTCTGAGGTACTGGGGAGCCACACAGAAGAGACAAGCAGGCTATGGGCAGAGGCTGTCTGGGGGAAGGTGCTCAGTCTGTGGCCACACACAGCATGGGCTGAAACTCGGGCTGTGCCCACTTTCCAGCAAAGGGCACCCTGCAGCGCCTCCTAGTGCTGGCAGTGTGGCTTCCTGAAAGTTTCCTGAGAAGTGGAGTGAGTAAGGTCATTGGACCAGTGACTAGCCAGGACGCAGCCTCTTCTCACAGTGGGGTCTTTCTCAAGATCTCAGTCAACCTGAGCTTGGGCCTTGGCTGTTCAACCTGCTGGAAAGTGTGTGTGTGTGTGTGTGTGTGTGTGTGTGTGTGTGTGTGTGTGTG